TCTTTTCCTACAGAGTAAAAGTAACAGGTTTCTTTGGAGTATGCCCCTCCCCCCAAAAAAAATTCCTATTTAACTCTTGGGAAAAATAAAGGAAGACCCAGCATTAAAGCCACCATGCATGTTACATTAGTATTAGAATTAAGGTGCACACGGAATTAGGGTGAAAGCAGCTGGAAACTTCTGGACACAGCTGGAAGGACAGCTGGAAACACCTATGCAGGCATTTCTCTAAAGTTTGGTGGGAAACAGCTGCAATTTTCCAGAATCTCTGGGAAATCTCCCACCCAATCTGGTGCTTGCCAAGGAGCCTAGAAACCACATGAGCCATGTGTCTGGTTTGGCCCCCATGATGTCCTGAGGGCAACTACTTCTCCTCACTTCCAAAGTGCAGGCAAGCTCCTCTCATTGGAAAACTAAGCACAAACTGTACAAGGAAGGGGATTACAGAAAGGAAGGTCCACTAAGGAGTGGACAGTAGTATGACAAAGTTACCACCTGACAACACAACACAACCTTCAATCCCCTAAATTCCTTGTTATGTGAGACAAGTCATTCATTCATTCATTCATTCATTCATTCACTCATTCATTCAATAAATATTAAGTACTTTCTACATGCCAGGAACTGGGTTAGACAATACAGACAGATTTAACTATGTAGAATTGATTCTTGCCCCGCATGAGCTCACATTGCACTAAAATGGGAGACTGGCAGTCTAAACAAACTATTCAAATGCACAGAAGTTATTAGGGATGTTTGCAAGTAGTCTAGGTCTCCTCCAGGTGTATGCTAGGATTGCACTGCCCTACCTGCATGGAAGTTGGGACAGGCCGTGTGATTCACTTTGATCAGTGAAGTGGGAACAGAAGTGAAGTGTGTAATTGCACTGGGAAGGTTTAGGACAACCTTTCACCATACTCTCTTCCCCCTGCCATGGTAAGCTTCATCAGATGGAGCGTCTGTCAGCCTAAGTCCCTGAGCAGAAAGAGCCCCAGCCAACTTGCAATGGATTTGCAATGTGATGGCAAGTGAAATATGTATAATAAGCCAGTAAGAGTTTGGGGTTATTTATTCTGACAGAAAAAGTAGCCCCTGCTGACGGACATAAAGCACATGAGAGCACATAGTGTGAGAGTTGCTAGGGAAAGGGAAGGATTATGGTTTTTGGATTGTCTAATACACAGAGTGATCACCACATGTGGCTTTGATTGAGCTGGTCTCTGCAGAACATCAAAGAGAACTGACAAATGAAGGAGAGACAGCAGCGAACAAAACAGACCTCAGAACAAGCCTTCCTTTCTCCCCATTGTATTCAGCAGCAGAGTTGCCTCCCCCTGGTTTGACTTTAGATGATGGTGAGCTGACTGATACAAGATTGGTGAGGATCAAATAAGAAAGCATTCTTTTAAGATTTGTAATCAATCAATATGGTACTGGTGCAAAAACAGACACATAGATCATTGGAACAGAATAGAGAGCGCAGAAATAAACCCATGCTTATATAATCAATTAAATTTACAACAAAGGAGGCAAGACTATACAGTGGAGAAAAGTCTTCAATAAGTAGCATTGGAAAAATTGGACAGCTACTGGATCACTTTCTTACACCATATACAAAAAGAAAAACACCAAAACACACCCAAAAAACAAAAACCCCTCAGAATAGTTTAAAAACCTCAAACTATAAAACTTCTAGGAGAAATCACAGGCAGTAAACTTTTTGAATAGGTCTTAGAAATTTATTTTTGGATGTATCTCCTCACATAATAACAACAAAATAAAAAATAAACAAATGGGACTACATTAAACCAAAAAGCTTTTGCATAATGAAGGAAACTATAAACAAAATGAAAAGGCAACGTACTAAATGGGAGAAGGTATTTGCAAATAATATAGCTGATAAGGGGTTAATATCCAAAATACATAAAGAAATCATGTCTCCACATTAAAAAAAAAAACAATAATCCAATTAAAAATGGACTGAACACCTCAATAGACATTTTTCTAGAGAAGACATTTTTCTAGAGAAGACATAGATGGCAAACAGACACATGAAAAGATGTTCAGCATCACTAATCATGATGGAAATGCAAGTAAAAACCACAATGAGAATCACCTCATACCTGTCAGAATGGCTACCATCAAAAAGGTAAGAAGTAACAAGTGTTGGCAAGGAGGAGGGGAAAAGGGAATCCTTATGCACTGTTGGTGGGATTGTAAATTGGTACAGACAATATGGAAAACAGTATGGAGGTTCCACAAAAAAATAAAAAATAGAAGTACTATACAATTAAGCAATTCTAGTTCTGGGCATTTATCTGAGAAAACAACAACAACAAAATGAAAATACTAATTCAAAAAGATATATGCAGGCCTATGTTCATTGCAGCATTATTTGCAAAAGCCATGATATGGAAGCAATCTAGGTGTCCATGTACTGATGAATGAAATAATGAAGATGTGATACACACACACACACACACACACACTCACACACATATATATAATAAAATATTACTTAGCCATAAAAAAGAATAAAATCTAGCCATTTGTGAAAACATGGATGGACCTAGAAGGTATGATACTAAGTGAAATAAGTCAGAGAAAGACATACTATAACATTTCACTTATATGTGATATCTAAAACAACTAAACAAATGAACAAACAAAACACTCATAGATACAGAGAACAAACCAGTAGTTGCCAGAGGGTATGGGCAAAACAGGTGAAAGATATTAAGAAGACAAACTTATAGTTATAATATAAATAAGTCATAGGGATGTAATGTACAGCATAGGGAATACAGTCAATAATATCACAATAACTTTTTACAGTGACAGATGGATACTAGACTTATCTGGTGATCACTTTGTAAGGTATATAAATGTCAAATCACTATGTTGTACAACTGAAACTAATATAATACTGTATGTTAATTAAAAAGAGCTAATATAATATTGTACTAATATAATATTGTACATTAATTAAAAGAGCTTTACATCCCAGAAGGGAAAAAAAGATAAGTGTTCATGAAAAGATTATATTTTTTCCTGAGAGTCATGATACATGTAGCAGTATGTCATTGTGAAAATAATTCAAAATAAGATTACATCCCTAAGTTTATCTTTCCAAGCATTATATAAATCACTTCTAATTATCCATATTCCTTTTATTATTTGGAAAAAATGAGACTTATTCATACAGTGATTTATGACACTTGTTTGGGGATAATGTACTCTATTTTGCATTAACCTTAGCTGAATATACTGAGAAAGATAAACTGATGGGGTATATAATATATCCCAAGTCAAGTGTAAATAATTTGGAGATCACCCTTAAAAGAAAACTCTATTCACTGGCTGCCCTCCAGTAAGGTCCACACCACTCCACCTGACTGGCTGCCATAGCTCCTTAACAGACTGTGGTTCCCTTACACTGGTGGCCTCAGTGAACCATGCTTTTAGTACTCACACCCTTGTGACTTAATCAATAGAATGCAGTAGAAGAACATGGTGCTCGTTCCCAGATTAAGCCTCCAGGCTTGTCAGTTTCCTCCTCTGCACCATTGGAAGCAAACTTTGAGCAGCCATGTAAGAATTCTGGCTACTGGCTGGAAGGACCATGTGGAGAGATCCCAGCTCCCCAACCAAGCCTAGCCCCAGCCTACTCACCAGTTGAATGCAGGTACAGGAGTGTCACTTACATGCCCATCAAAAGCCCAGCTAAATTGTAGAATTGGGAGCAAACAAAATGAGCTTTGTTTTAAGCCACTAAGTCTTGAGATGGTTTGTACATAGTAATTAATAAATGAAGCACTAACTTTTCTTGAATTTTACAGGGCTCTTATTTAAGGTTCATTCCTAAGTGGAATTTTCTTGTAATCCCATTTGCCACACCATCTTGTGCTCTAAAGTCTTAACCAGTCAGGGTTGTCACACATAATTGTATGGGTTGTGCAATATACCAGGGCACCCACCAAGGGAGCCAATGGGGACTGCATATCTGTCCTTTGCCTAGGGGACACTTTTTGGAAATTGCATGAATATGCCTTATCAGTTCCCAGAGCTCTGACAAAAAGTATTCAGTTGAATAAAATCCAAAGTTGTTGACCTGGCCTCCAAGCCTCCTTTAACTGCCTGATGCCACCACTGCTCTACCTCCAACTTTCTCCAACACAGCCTCTCATTACTCATCTCCAGTCTTCATCCAGTGGAATTTCCCAGCCTCCCACCTTCAGATGTGCCCATTTTGCCATTTAGTAGCAGTTCCCAAACTGGGGCTGTGCCTTCTAACGGAGGATGCTAGTGCTGCCACCAAGCCTCTGTGTACTCAGGTACCTGGACATTTTTCCTCTTGTAAACCTCAGAGGATCTGATATATACTTACAGGCACATTTTTTGTGGGGATTTCCAAGTGTGTTAAAGTTAGAAGGGGCAGTGAGACCATCCATTATTCCATTTTCAGTCTCCAGATGTGGAGGGCAAAGCCCAGGGGACTTGAGTTACTCTGCCCCAGGGACAAGGGTCCAAAGGCACAGGACATTGTCTGAGCCAGGGAAGTTGGTTTCCAGGGGAGATTCTTTTCCTCACAATTCATAGCACAGCCATAAAGCAAAATGTTCCAATATGCTGTGCAAGTGGACCAACCTGACATGGATACACGTTGTCGAACTTTGTAATCTTACCCTTCATTAAATATCCAACACAGGTGATTTGATCCCTTCCTTTCTCAGCTTCCCCTTCTTCCTCTGCATTCCCTCCTCCTTCCTGCCTATTCTCCATCTTACCTGCCTTCTGGGAAATGCCAACTCAGGGTCACTGTCTTGTCAGGGATGCAGCCAAGGGGACTTCTAAGCCTGGAAGAGTGTACAGATTGTTTTCTTTGACTCAGGATTCTTTATGGGAAGTGCAGGTGTCACCTGGTGGGACTGAGATGGAACTGCCTTGAGAATGGTGTCCCCCTGAGATTACCCCCAGGCTATACCACAGTCATGGTCAACATGCCACCATGGGAAGTAATTAGGCCCTCACCTGACTTCGTGCTGGAAGGGGTTGGAATGCCTGGCCATGTGCCCTCTCAGCAGGTAGGCTGTTCAGGACAACCAGTACTCAGGGAAACTCAGCATGATTCAGTGTAGTGGGCTAAATTTCTAAGCTGATAATTTCTAAGCTGATCATTATTAAGGCTGGTACACCTCCACCTGTGATCTCCACAAACACTGAAGGATGAGAGGCCTGGGTGCAAAACATCTGACTGGGACAATAATTTGGTAACCATGTGCTGGGAGCTACAAAACCGAAGTAGTAATACTTTTTTTATATTATTATAAAAATAATAATCTGTACTTTCGATTGAGCAAATCTGATATGTTAAATGCTCTATTACCTCATTTAATTAATACAACTCTATGAAATAGATATCTACTTTTGAAGATGAGAACACTGAAACTCAGAGTTTAAATAACTCTCTTAAGCTGATAGGTGGCAGATCCATCACCCTGTCCTGCCCACTGAACCCAGAGCATCACCTTAGCTCCAGCAGCATGGACCAGGCTCACCTAGGAGCACACAGAAGCATGATCATCCTGCTCCACACCTCCTTCCCACAGCTGCCAGCACCCGGCATCACTACAGAGCAAATTCTCTGGACTTCTCTGTCTCTGCCCTGGAGTCTGCTCTTTGAGTTTGAGAATTTCTGGAATAAAGCAAAATTTGTTATCCCGAGTCATCTTACTTTGATTTTCTGGGGTCCTGGTCAAGCCTTATGGCTCTTAATACTGCACAAACAGCAGGTCTGGTCTGTGCCAGTGAGGAGCTCAGCTTTGCAGCCAGCTCCCTACTAGTCCACAGAGGGGCTGGTGTTGGGGGGCTGGGCTGGGGCGGGGATGCAGAGCCGTCTTCCTTCCCTGCCTAAGTGCTTGCCAAGCATTTTCCATGAGGCACCGGAAGGGTCAGCCTTGGATGCCTGACTTGGGATGTGATGGGCATTTGCAGTCCTCAAAATACAATTTTTAAAGACCACAGGTTGACTTCACACCCATTTCTTCTAGTGAGGCCATGTGAAAGTCTAAATAAGGCATAAAGGCAGTTGCTACTAGAAATGAGTTTTCTTGAGCAGAGGTGATAGGTATTTTTGCAGGGAGAAATAATTCTCTCCCTTCAACTGCCTCAGTAGAAGCACCATAGAAAGGGGTGGCTTTGGGGTCTGGGCTGGTGCAGGTGGTAAGAGTCAGTGTGCTGGCTTAGATTCATGAAATGCTTTGCAAGTGACATCACTGAGATTTTCTTCATGTGTCTGGCCCTCAGGAAGACTCCAGCAGGGAGGCAGGTAGAGAGAAAAATGCATAGGAAGATGGCTTTATTCTCTCCAAGATCAAGAAGTTAGGTTCATTGACATTCTGGATATGATATAGATTAGACTTCATTTTTTAATCTATTTAAACCTTTTCTAAACCCATGTAGAATAAGTATCATTAGAAGTCCACTAGCAATGCTACTGAGAAAGGTTGTGCGGTCACAGTTCCTGGACTCCTCTAGGGAGAAATTCTGTCAGCACCTGTCTTTCTGGGTATGTAGGTATTGTGCTCCCTTGAAGCCAGAGAAGTGGGCTGCACAGAGACCCTCCAAGACACTTTGCAGGTCCAAGGCACAGAGGGGGCAGCAGGACCAGCTTCACTTGGAGCTGGAGTGTTGATCTGAGGACTAGTTTCTCACTCACCCGATTTAGACCTTAGGCAAGTCTCCTAACCTCTCCAGGCTCACCTTCTTCATCTGTGAATTGAGGGTCAATAATGATGACAATGAAAATGATGCTCCTCTCCCAAGAAAGTCATACCAATTCAGTAAATTAATTTACATGGGGATGCCTCACCAGCCCAAAGTGCTCTGCAAATGTAAAGTGTAAATGTTTCCACATATTTGGGTCATCTCACCACGCTGGCTGGGAGAATGCCACATGCAGAGAATGCACTCAGTACAGATATATTTACAATGTCCTTTTATAGCTATATTCTAAAAAGAAGGTTATTGCTCCAGAACAGGATATGAATTTTATTTATTTATTTATTTATTTATTTATTTATTTATTTATTTATTTATTTATTTATTATTTATTTTTACCACAGACCTCTTAAAATATCTGATAAAACCATGAATGCTTTCTCAAAAAAAAATGAGCAAAAATAAACCATGCTAATACATACAACCAATAACATTTCACATACAATTTCTAGGGGCTCATAGTCTCCTCTACCTCCATCCCAGCTTAAGAACATGTTCATGCTAGAGATTTACAGCTCTCTGAGTGAAGAAAAATGAGTGCAACAATGATGTTTAGCATTTGCCTGAAAAATAAAATCCTAGAGGGAACATTTCTGAGATTCTAATGTATTCAAATGATGCTCTTGTAAAAATAGTTTGTGTCTGATCATAACTAGTCTACTTAAATGAAAATGTGCTCAAGCTAAAAAGGTCTTTCCCGTATATGTGGCTACCCTCAGCTGACTGAAGCTTTTATGCAGAAAGTTGTGGTCCGGATACCTGAGTCCTCCGGGCTCCACAATGGGCTGCTATCTGGTGACGGCCGTGAGGTTTTGTTACCACGGGTGAGGCGCCTGCGGGGCGCTCCGGGGCCGGCTCCCAGCCCGGCTTATCGGAGATCTGCGAGCCAGCTGCCAAGGGCCCTGGCTGTGTGCGCCCTGGCCCAGCTCAGGGGCCTGGATTTTACCTCAAGCAACACACTGCTCTTGGCTGAGTGGTGTCCTTGCAAAGTAGGATTTAGTTTTGGGTGCAGGAGTTCAGCACCAGGGCTAGCTCAGCAGAAGTGGAAGCTTAAAAATTTACACCAAGATCAAGTCAACCCGAGACCACATCCAGAAATGGAAAATGAAAAGGAAAGAAAATAGTTGAGCAGGAAATTGCCACGCTTTGCCCACCCAGCTGGCGCCCTCGAGGGAGCGCAGAGGATATTTGCCCCCAGTGGCGCTTAGAACCAGCCAGGGCGCTGGCTTTTAAGCCCGCAGGGCAGTCATTTCCTCCTCTCCTCAGGCGGTTTACGGCGTTCTGGTTACTGGGTATAAGCGGCCCCCATGCGAGAGGCCGCCCGCCCGCGCGCCCGCGCCCACGCTCGCCGCCGGGATCCCACAGACCAGAGGCCCCGGGAGGCAGGTGGCCGAGGCCTGTGAGCTGGCTCCTCCGCCCCCGCCAGATCAGGTGGCGCAGCGCAGGCCGCTGGACGGCGCCCACGGAGAGAAATCCAGCACCATGTTCAGAAAGCTGCACTCCGTGTTTAACCCCAGCCCGCAGAGGAAGGCGGAGGCGGCGGGCGGTTCCTGCTTCCACCGAGCCGGCCCCACGGTGCGGCTCATCCGCAGCAGCTCCATGTACGTGGTTGGGGACCACGGGGAGAAGTTCAGTGAGTCCTTGAAGAAGTACAAAAGCACCAGCAGCATGGACACCAGCCTGTACTACCTGCAGCAGGAGGGCGACCGGGCCTGGATGTACTCACGCACCCAGGACTGTCTGCAGTACCTGCAGGAGCTGCTGGCCTTGCGGAAAAAATACCTGAGCAGCCTCAACGACCTGAAGCCCAAGCGTGCCCAGGGCTTCTCCTCCACCTCGTCCAAATCCTCCAAGGGAGGAAAAAAGGCCCTTGGTCAGTCCACCTCCAAAGAAACAAAGGTAAGTGCCGCTGAGAAGTGCAATTGAGATGCGAGTTGTTCCAAGAGCCTCGGATGCCTGTTTGAAAGCTGGCTCATCCGTGCCCAGTCAGTCAGTGTGCACATTCTGATCATGGCTCGGCTGTCCTCGGGGACTCTCCATTGCCGTCTGCCAGCCTGGGGAGAGTGGCTAGGCCCCTGTTGATTTTCCACTTGGAGGCAATGGGGAGCGCAGTTCATGGTGTCCCAGAGCAGCCTGGGGGGAGGGCTCGGGCTGTGGTGTCAGAGGGCAGGGCGTTGCATGGTGCGTCTGTCATTTGCAGCCCATTTGATAGATGAGATCATACTTGCATGGTGTTTGGGTGACAGCAGATCATTTCTCAACAAATTAATGCTGCTATCTTTATTATTGCAATCACATCTAAAACTCCCAGTGAAAAGTGAAACCGTGTGAACAAGATGTTTTCAAATATCTAGCTGCTCAGCCCCATATGAGCCCCAAACAACTGGAGGCTTTACTCCATCGGACCCTGGACCCAGGTATTTTGGAACGTGGGCACGGCCACAGAGAGACAGCTTTGCTGGGCATTGGAGGCTTCAAGCCCAGACAGACAAAGCAGGAACTAAATGAAAGCTGTAAGTTGCATTCACCTGGTCGTTTTTACCATCCCAGTGTTTGTATGTAAGGACCTTTCTCTGAGCATTTCAATGATACCAGAAGAGAAGGGGGGAGCGGCTTCCTTTGTATCCCAGAAGAGCAAACTGAGGCCCGGCAATCTGATCCTGACAGGATCCCCAATTCATTCAGTTACTCATTTCTGTATTTCCTCAATTTTTTTTAATGCTTGAGGTTTGAGGCTGTTTTGTTTTATATTTTCATCAATCGTTGTCCTGATAAGGTGTTCACAGCAGGCCTGTCTTTCCCACATCCTGGCTGTCTCCCCAGAGTGTCCCGTGGGCCATGCAAGCCCCATTAATGTTGAATGAATGATTGGCCCACTATCAAATCTCCAGGGCCTGGTCATTCAACTGGTTTCAACTGTCTGCATTTTATCCCAGATGGGAGCAGTTTAAATAATCAATTTAACTCCAATAGTATGTCATGTTGGGGCCCATACAAAGCGTCCTAGTCTTAGGTCCCAGTACTGACACTGCACCAGCTAGCTGTAGACTTGGGGGCCAGTCACTCCATTTTGGGGGCCACTTCTGATGCAGTGACTTCATTCTGGGGTTCTAGGCTCTGGTTAGAGTCCTTCTAGGCACTACATTTTCCTGCAGAATGGAGTCCTTTCTTTGTAGAACAGAGCTTCCTTCCTCCCTGCTCCCTTCCTGGTTCAGCTGTCTGAAGACAAAAGGGGTTAGAGGCAGAACACAAGCAGCTGTGGCCGAGCAGGAGTGGCTGTGAGGAGGGTCACAGGCATGGTACAATTCATGGATTTCCTCAGGAGATTCATCTTACCAGGGAGTAACCAGAAAGAATTTTAAAAGGACTTCGAAGTCAGTCAGAACAAAGCCTAAATTTTAACTCTGTATTTACAAGCAAAAGCTGTGTGCCTTTGTCAAGTTAAGTTTACCTCTCTGGGCTTCTATTTCAGTAGTGTAAGAATGGAAATAAGAATCTACCTAGTAAGGAGGAAGTAAGATTCTGCCTGTGATAGGACCTGGCATGTCCAAGGTAGTCCAGTGTTTACTGAGTCTGAAATGTAAGGTGCAGTCTTTAGACAAGTGGCTCTCCACTGCTCCTAAAGCACGAGCTGTATGCTGGCGTACCTGAGAAACATTGGTGTGGGCTCCATGTCCTCATGAGGCCAACTAGCAAGGCGGCTTGTGCTTGTCTGGCTCTCGGTGCACAGCTGGGGCAGGGGACCAGGAGAGCTCCTTCCTTCTGGAATATCATCACCTTTCTGCATTGGTAGAAAATGATGTTCAAGGTTTAGGGTAAACAACACATTTTTTCTTGAACCTCTGTTATGTGTCAGATTGTCTCCCCAAAATCATATGTTTAAATCCTAACACTCGCTATCTCAGAAGGTGACCTTATTTGGAAAAAGGATGATTACAGATATAATTAGTTAGTTAGGGTAATTTCGAATTATTAGGGTGGGTCCCTAATCCAACGTCACTGGTGTCTTATAAGAAGGGAAAATTGGGACACACACGCACACAAGGAGAATGCTGTGTGAAGGTTGTATTTATGCTACCACAAGCCAAGGAACTACCAGTGCTTCCCTAGCACTGTCAAAGAGAGCATGGCCCTGTTGACACCCTCATCTCAGACATCTGGCCTCCAGAACTGTGAGATAATACATTTCTTTTGACCTAAGCTGCCCAGTTTGTGGTACTACTTAATAGCAGCCCTAGATAATGAGTACACCCCTCTCTAGGATCAACCTTTTTCTTCTCAAACATTAGTCTAAACACATCTCTGTTCTAGCATTTATCACATCCTACTGTGGTTGTTAGCACGTGCACCTCCCTTGGTGGACTGCAGTGAGCTTGATGAAACTGAAACAATGTCTTTGTCATTTTCCTACCCCCAGTACATAGCAGTGAGTACTTATTAGTCACTTATGGATGCTTTACAGACTTAAAAGTCTGCTATCTTTCATGCTGTAGATCAGGGGAGAGTCAGCCTTCATGTAGGGAATGAGGAGTGTTCCCTGTGATTCTGGAGACCATGGCAAGCTCTCCCTCCCTCCCCTTTAATACAACCACAGAACCTAAGTTCCCCTGTCTATCTCTCTTTGGGGGGAAAGATAATGGCTTTTAAACTGTTTTGTTTAAAACTCTCAGTAAGAAGTGAATTTAAACGTTGACCCAGTTTACCCAAACATGCAACCAAATCAAAAGTTCTCTGTTTGGTACTCTGATGTTTTTCAAAGTATTCTGTGCTATTTTTTAAATGTTAGTCATGACACACTAAATTGATTTCACAAGCCACTACTGGGTCAAGACCCATAGTTTCTCCCAGCCTAGAGTAAGACATTGCAACAGGTCCTGTTGAAATGCTAATGTGTATCTATGGCATGATGCACTAGGGTGCTAGATGGTCTGTCATCCAGCCCTCCAGAAATGCTGAGACTTGGAAGGATACCACATGGGTTGATGGAAAGAGGAAGTGAGGTGAACCTGAGGTGGGTGTGGGAAGACCCCTGGGTCCCTGCATGATGGGTCCTGGCCAGGCCCTGTGACAATCTGCTCCTCCATCAGTGTAAGAGGTAATTACAAAAATGAATGAAACACACTTTTTGCAACACTTAAAAATCAAAACAATCAAAACTTTTATATCTGAGGAGTTTTGTGTCAGTGTTGGACATGGGATGCAATTTGGGACTCATTGTTTGGATGACCAAATGTTAGAATTTCCAACACAGTGCAAAATTCATGTGGAGGAAGGAGATATATTTGAAATGGTCCTGTCCTGGAATGCACAGTTTCTGAACCTATAGGGCAAGGCCACCTAACCCCCCTGCCCTGGGCACCTGGGTATTTCTGCTATCGAAGAGGAACAGTGAGGTCTCCTTCATACCTGCCTCCCCTGCTTCTGTGTTGAAGCCCAGGCATAATTAGGAACAATCAGCAGTTATTCCTGACTTGTAATCATCGTAAACCCTGTGTGTTGAGTATCAGCCCTACACTACAGATGAGATAGCTGGGGCTCAGAGACACCAAGTGGTTTATGTAAGGGTGTGAACCTGATGAAGAGAGAGCCAGTCTCTACCATGTCAGATCTCACACTCTTGTTAATGTGTCCATGGTGCCTTTCAATTGGAAAACATATTTTGAGCTTGAATATAATAAAATATATCAGATGCGGGAGTGTGCACCTCAGGATGAGGTGTGGAGGCTGCTTCATCCTGCACACCTGGGCCAGGCAGAGTAATCCTACCCTGCACAGGTTCCATGTTTGGGTGAAGCTCCCCCATGAGGCTGGATGGCCTGGGCTGTCTTTGACCAGGAGAAACCCGGACCAGAAGTATGACCAGAAGGCACAGTTTAGGGCCTCTCCTCTCCACAATCCATGAAAAAAATTCCCTCTATCTTGACACCATGTTAATTGTCAGACAATAACCAGAGTTATTCATACTAGACTTCCATGAACTTTTCCAAATTACCATATATATAAACTCATAATAATTCATCCAAAAGACTGGTAAACCCTAATTAATGTATTTTTAGAAATTTATGTAAATATATATTTTTAGAAAACTATTTTATATTTTTAAAAAATTAAAAATTGTCAAACCTGTTATGAAAACATTCTCCTAATTCTTAAATGAAGTATTTTTAGGGCATCCATGACCTCTTAAGGAAGTCATTTTCTAGTGTACTACTAATATATTATACTATAAAAATCTATTGTTTATCTGAAATTCAATTTAAATAGTCATCCTTTATTTTATCTGGCAACCTTAATTACATGTATGGCAAAAATACAGGAAATAAATGTTTGAAATAAAATATACCTATACATGTTATAGCCATTATCCCTGGATGATAGGTTTCTAAGTTATTTTTATTTTCTTCTATATACTTTTCTGTATTTTAAAAATTTTGTCTAATGAGGAAATACAATTTTATCATCAGAAAAAAATGTTTACCTAAAAAAGTGTGCTTTTGATGGTGAGCTCTGACCCATTACACAGTGGATGTTTTAATTATCAGGATCTGATTCCACATAAATATACTCAAACTGTATTTTACTCCATTAAAAACAAAAGATAATTTTCCACTCACTATTGTTTTTCCAGATCTTCCATCAAACTTTGTAACAGTTTCCTTCTTAAATTACAGTTGGAGCTTCTCAGAATATTGGTTTATTGAACATCTGCTATGTGCCTGGAGCCTTTCTAGAGGCTGGATATAAAAAGATAAGTAAGACATGTGCCCCCACTCAATGAACTGATGGTCAGTAGCAGAAACAGCAAATGAACAGAGCGTTACAGTGCTGCATGCTGAGTACTGAGTGCTGGGTGCTGAGTGCTGAGATGGGGGCCAGACACAAGGAAATCCACTGAATTA